ATAAAACGGAAATATTTAATTATTTCTTGCGCGGCCCGGTACCAATTGGTCCACGGACCAGGGGTTGGGGACCACTGGTCTATAGTACTAATTTCCCTTGTATTGCATTTAATATGCACAACCCAAAAGCTGAAATGTGTGGCAGACAGCTTCCTCTCACTGCTGTTCTTTGCTCTTTCTCTACTTCCGTTTGTAGTCTGCAGATGAAATGGAGGCCATGGTAAGTTTTATGACAGTCCTGCTCTGTTGGCCTTTTCATCTCCGCCTCACCCTTCTTTGTTTCTCATGTAGTGGGGCTAGACAGGCAAAAAAACAAAGAAACTGCTTTTCATAATATGCTGATTGTAGTAATTGTTAATTTCTGTTGGAATGAAAATCCCAACATTTAGAGGAGTAAAATATCTAGAATATGGAGCATGTTTGTGTAAGATTCACTTAATGACTGATCAGATTCAATTGGAATCAAATGAAGCCCCTTGCTGCTTTTATTTCTTCCTGTCCATCTTTCATGCTTAATTTGTTTGACCTTGCTCTTTTTTCATGGTTTCTTGCAACATTTCCAAGTATGTCTCCATATTGCATGTGTAAAGACTCTTCTTTAAAAAAATCTAAGTTTCCCTTCTTTGTCAAGTGTCCTGCATGCTTGTTGAATGTTTATCAGCGTTCTTTTGCAGATGTGCTGGCTTTTGTGAATCTATGTGTTCCTTTTCAGCACATCAGGGTAATTGTAGCATGCATCCACCCACTAAAGCACACGAAATAGATATGTAGAGATGCGCTAACAGATAGAGACGGAGGTGGAAAAGCAAACTTTTGATTTGAAGGTTGCGGCTTTTTTCTCCCTTTGTGGTGTGTGAATTTCCAACGCTCGGCCATGCTGTGGAGTCCAACCTCTGAGAAGTCATTGGCCATACATAATCTTTTGGAGACCTTGAATTCAACAAAATGCTGGATGGAAATAAAAACTGCATTCTTGCAAGTAAATGGCCTTTTTAAGAGACTTTGAAGCAGGATTTTTAAAACCAGCGGTGACATGAAAGGAAACAGTGTTAACTCTTTTAATCCAATGTTAATCCGCTGCTGTGCATAAAGATCTGCCGGGACACAGACCACACTTGTATTCAAACCACATTCTTTTGTGGTAAAGGTCAGATGTGAATATGAATCATTTAATACAGGATATTACATGGATTTCCCTCACTGAACATCTCTTGATGCTTTGGCTTGATGCTAAAACTATACCAATAAAGGTAAAAACATACTTATGACATTTCTTCTACCTTGTCAGATTTTCCTACCACAGCACATCTAGATAGCTGTGTCTATCGAGTGATGCTATCTTTGGAAGCTGCTAGATCACCTGTTGAGGCTTGGGAACGGTGCAGTTATGTCTTCTCGTCCCAGTAGTTGCCACGGAGATTAATACAAATGACTTTCCAGGCTGACCTTCTTGGTGTTACTGCTTCATGCAGCACGGCTGCCTCTATCAACCTGAATTTACATGCATTCATTCATTTTTAAAAATGGATGACAAGGAAGACCATCCATGTTCATTTCTGCTGTAGTTCTAGGACAGTCTCTACAGCGGGTATTAATGCGCATTAGGGTTTATTTGGGGTTTGAACTACTATAATAGTCAGTCCACTGTAATTCTGTCTTATTTGTTCTGGAGCAGGTGGGGTTAGTGTGTAAAAACACCACTTTAGTGGAGGATCTATGATCTATGGCCTGATTTTCTTTCAAAGGTTTGTTAGTGCATGCAAACATGAAACCTTTGAATAAATAATCAAAATTTGATGGATTCTGTCAGAAAACTGAAATGGTTGTCCCGGGGTGTTTCAGCAGATTAATGACAGGATATGATCAACACATTAATGGTTCAGCAGACACAAAATCAACCGTCATCCAGCCTTCAACCATTTCACATGGAGAGTGTTTTAGGAAATTGTTTGATTTAGATAAGACGTATTAAAAAAGAACAGTTGAGAGTCGTGAAATTGTATTCTAGCATTACGCTATGTTTCTAACAATAATTTATTGAATATTAAATCTGCAAAACAACACTTAGATTCATTACCAAGTAAAAGAAATTGCAGATAGGGACAAAATAAATTAAATAAAAGCAAAACAAAACTTTATTGTTTTGAACCAACCGCATGATACCCACATGACCTTTTCCGATGCCTTTTCAGCCGACCGCTCTGTCTCTGTGTGTATTCCGCTTGCAGGCTCAGCAGCTCCAGAAGAAAGACTCGCAGCTGAAAGCGCTGGATGCCTTCTACAAGGAGCAGCTGGCTCAGCTGGAGCAGAGGGTACGACATTCACACGAGCCGCACATTTTTCACAGACCTACAGAAACCTGCCTTGTTCAAAAGCGTTCACAGAAGCCTCGGCCTGCTGTGCTGAGCAGCATATCGCAGAAGAACACCGAAAATCTGGACAGGAAAAGCTGTTTCACATGTGCACTTTCCAGCAGATGCATAATCAACTGTAGTCACATAATCCCAAGGTCAAACAGGCTTTTTGCATTTCTGTGTGCAAACGTACTTGCATGTATAATGATTTAAAGGATTCATGTAAATTTTCTCTACAGCATTATTATGGCAAAACGTGTGATGCATTGCTTGTAGTCTTCCCAATGTTGAGCTATAAGCTGCACTAGCAGGTTGCTCCACAGCATGCATAATAATAAGCTTTAAAGGTGATTTTGTGCAGCAAAGAAAGCTGTAAAGCGATAAATAAAATGGTCTGAAACGTTCCTCCCACCCATGTGAAAAAGTAATGTAGAGTACATTTAAACAAGCTTGTTCATCAAAATAGGTTCACAACTAAACATTACGTAGAAGAAGCGTCTCCCTTAGGCCTTTCTGGTGCAATTCAACAGGCAGCAAAGATTGAAGCCAGCCGGAGCATCTCCGGAGAGCCTTTACAAGACCTTCCATTTCCTTTCATCTTCTGTTTGACATTTGCCGGGTAGGAAAGGTGCAGTTTCAAGTCAAGTCTCAGTCTCACCAGACGCCATGCAGAGAACCTTTACAATGTGCTCTCCGGGGAAAGCTGTCTTCCATTTCTCAAATAGAAAAGACCTTTAAAGGACATTATGTGGAAAACCTAGGTATTGTGTTCTGTTTACCCTGGTTAATTCAGGCCTGTTCAGCATGCAGAGTAAATGGAGAGTCTGTGTTCTAATCAGCCAGCAGTCTTTGGGCAGACTCCTTAAGTTCAGTACACCGGTAATTTTTTTTTGTTACCTTAGAATAAGGTTGCATTCACACCAGCCCTGTTTAGTCCAGAGCTTTAATTGAATCAGGTTGGTTTGCTTACAAAGTCTGTTTCATTTGGAGAGGAGTGAATGCACCATTGAACTCTGATGAGGACCGAAAAAGCAAACTCTTAGGTCTCAGTTTGGTTGAAGTGAACTCTGGGGCAATTTGTATGCATATGTGGAAGACCGCTGGAGACCGCTCCAAAAGCAGGAAGTGAACTACAGCACAGGGTATTGTGGGTCAGTAGAGCCAAAATAAATGCACGAGGAACGCCTGGTTTTTTACTACAGACAAAAGAGAAATCCTACAATGGACTCCACTCCATTTCTGTATACATTTTGTGAGGAAGGAAGTTGCGCTCAGTGTCTTGTTCAGAGATTTTTGTGTTGTTTCCTTTAGTGGTTCTTGTTGCAGCGCCACCACAGGAGAGAAGGTGAACAGGTTTTTCAACAGGTTTGGATCATTTGACAGTGCAGCGTGAAAGAGAACCACGCCAACTTAAAAATGTATCAAATGTTCCAATTTTGGCTCCCGACTGAACCAAGTGTACTGGACTATCATCTGTGAAAACTCCCTAAAATACATAAAGCACCATGAACTTTAGGTGGTTTTAAAAACTGTGTATTTGGGTAATTGTTAAATCGAGAGGCTGACATAAGCTGTGTTTTCAAATAGCATAATTGAAATTATGAAAATAAATTTACTCAATAGAAACAAGGCAATTTCTAAAAAAATGTTTTGGTGAAGTTTTGTAGAGCGGCTGGCGTGTGGAAAACACAGACCACTCTGTAGCTTGACAAGACGTGGAAAAACTCAAAGAAATATTTCCTTCTTTTGCCACATCACATCCATGCTTATGCAAAGGCAGAGTCATATGCAGGTCTTTGGTGTCATGCGGGCGGCTATTTGTGTTCATCTCATTAGTAACAGGTTGGATTTGGAGATCGAGTCAGTGGCTGGCAGGCTGGCATATGGGTGGCACAAGCTGTGTTTGCTATGGAGCTTAGGATGTTTGTAGACAGACCTCTCTGTGTGTCTGTGTGTGACTGCGTGTGTTAAGATGGAGTGAGATGTTATTTGCATCGATACTGTGTACTCAGGTGCGCATGTACAGTATGGGCAGATTCATGTATCGTTCTGAGCGCTCAGTTTATTTGCAGTCATGGACTCCTTTGCTCAAAATGCAGCCCAGTCGGTCCTGGACAGTTCATGGTGACGGCATTTTGATTTTATTTAAAATATACAGTATCATGTAAAACAATGTAAAATCTGTACCACTATAATCAAAGACTGTGTATGCTCTATACTGATAGTTGCATTGGAAGAATAGGACTTTTTCTGATAGATAAAATATATATATAGTATGACAATGGTTTCATTACTCAAAAAGAGTGAGAAATTGATTCCAGTCCATACATCTGCTGCAGGGTGGGCTGGCGGCCGTCTCCAGTGGTAATTGATCGAGAGTCAGTGTCCACACCGGACAGGTTCCCAGTCCGTCACATTGCATCACAGCAACACCACGACAAACAGCCATGCACACATGTATCTGTTCCTTAGGGAAGTTTAGAGTAACCAATAAAGCTAACAGTCATGTTTTACCTTTTGAGAACCTGCAAGATGAAAATGCCTACATTTATATGGATTTTAACACCACTTCCAATGTTTTTGTATTGATTATATTTTAATGTCAGATATTCTGACAATCCAACCTTAGCCAATTCACAGATTACAAAAGGTTAGGAATGAAACGGTACTTTCAGCCACTCTTGAGTAGGTCTGTAACAATTCATCGACTATCTCAATTATTACAATTTCTCGAGGCAAATTATCTGCCTCGAATCTTTGTTAAATTATGTTTTAATATTTAGTGCCAAGTGTTTCGTCTGGATAGCTGATTGTTGCACCGTCAATGAGTTGCTGATCACTGCTGGCTATTGGCACAATGCAGAGGGACCTGATGTCATCTTTTCCCGCCGATGTGTCCGGTTCGTCATGTTGGGGACAGACAGGCTTCCTTTAAGCATCTGGTGTGATGCGTGGAATACAACAGAGAGCTGCTGCCTTATTATTTTTATTATTAAAATTTAATACAATTTCTGATTTTTGTGTAATTTTTCTCCAGGTTGACTTAAAAAAATTGCTATTATTGCTGTAGGTCAGTTTGCTAAGCTACAAAAAAGTAATTGTTGGGGATGCACAAATATGGAAAATTTGGGCCGATATTGATATCCAATATTAATACTGCTATTATAGCAGAATTTACCAATGTTTCATTTTATTATTTTTTTATTATTATTTTTTAAATAATCATCAGAATAATCAATAGATGACTCGATTACTAAAATAATAATTTACAACAGCCCTGTTGTTGAGCTATTGAGGTCTGTCTTGGATTACCAGTCAGATAAAAGCACGTTTCTTTTAAATTTCTTACTCCTGATTTCCTCGTGTACTGGTGTTTTTATGAGTTGTCGACATTTTCTAACTTCCAGGCCCCACCATTTAATATCTAATCCCTCTTTTTTTATTTTCTCCTGTTTCTCTCACTGGTGGTCTTGCTGTCTTTCTGACTCTTTTGCACACACTCCTGTCATAATGGAGCGTATTTTGAAGCTTGTGGAAATAGAGCGTACAGAAAGAGATAATAATCCTCCTCCAAGTCTGACAGGTTGCTTGACAGGCTGTCAGGAAGGCCTCTTCGAAGAGCACTGGAAATATCTGCACACTAAACACACATCCACTGCTTTCTTCCAAATCAAACACAGTGGCACTGCTTTTATTCGTGGCCAGGCGGCGAGGGGGCTGGTGGGAATTCCTGCATGGAAAGGTGCAGACACTTCCTTATTGTTGAGCTTCCAACATTTGGGAGGTTGTGGTATTAACTTCCATTCTGTTCCAGCAGATGTTTTATGCTAACCTTAAATCATGTCTTCATTATAAAACGAAGAGATAAACACTTTGGCGGCTTATCCTCCCACGCAAAATACGAAGATTTAGTGCACATCCTCATGTGTATGTATATATTTATGCATATACTGATGACATATTGCAGATATTGTGTGATCCCGACAAGATGGAGACATTCTGGCCTTTTGATCAATACCTTGATTTTCCCCCACCCCCTCTCCAAAGTACCATATTAAAACTTGACTTTTCTGCTGTGCTGCACTTTCTCATGGAAATGTACCCACTCTGGGCCTTATGCACACCAAGTCAAAGTTGAACGCTTTCATCCCGCAAAAAGCTATCTGCTCAATATGCTGCACCGAAAGCTTCGGATCTGCTTATTAGTTTAGCTTGTTAGCAGCGTTTCCACCGAGGCTGCACCCCATCTGGAGATGAAGATATGAGTTTCATAATAAGTTAATGGTACTAAACATTGCAGAGCTGCCACTAACATTCCTGTTGCCTCATTATTTTGTCCTGGGCTAAAGACGTACTTGTGCATTCCTCAAACAGTGGTAAACACCCACAGTGAAGTCTCTGCAGCAGCATTTATTAAAGTCTGAAGAGTCCAGAAGAAGGTGCTGAGAGACAAAAAAAAGCACTTGAAAATTATTATGATTCTAATGTGAATTTGTATGAAAAATACCTTTCCCAATTTTGTCTGCTACCTTATGATGTATTACACACACCGTTCAGGCATAACATTATTACCATGATGGAAAGTGAGTAACACTGTTATCTCTTCATCTCAGCGTCTGTTAGTCAGTGCAGCAGCTAGAGGGATCAAATCGTGATGGCCAGGTGACAGAGTTTTTCCAAAACTACCTCTCCTGGGTACTTCAAGTCTGCAGTGTTGTTGTTGATTTCATCAAATCATCAACTTTGTCGACTTGGGTCCACCCAAGCGTTTTGCACAGCTGAATGGTTGCCATGGAGACTAAGAATTCAACACTCCAGGTATGTTTTTGATGAGGGAATAACTTTATAATATATAAATCTCAAAAAAGTTCATTTTATATAATACTGGCCCTTTAAAAGCATACTAAACTCTAGATGCTGAACAGACTTTTCCATACATAGTTGACTACTTAGTGGGCCGTCTTCTCCATGGTTACTAATTATTAGACCCGTACCTTCTCCACAAGGCAATATTTGATTGCTTACTTTAGTTACTATGCAAGTAAGTAAGGAGATTTTACTAGTAATTTCCTTACCTAGTAAAAATTTTCTCTGTGAATATGTGATTACACCGAGGGCTGCTTGTCCTGATAGCTGCTATCTGTCGGCGTATCTTTCCTCATCAAAAGGTTTACAATAAAATGAGAAGTTTGGTTTGTACACTAAACCGCGCAGCACGCTATGACAATATTTACGGTATCAAACAGTATCAAAAGCTGTTTGGACACCTGTCATGGCTTTCTGAAGAGTGTGGTGTGACGTGCAAAGGGCCAGCAGGAAGAAGCTTTCAAGCCCCTCAAATCATCCTCTTCCCCATTCTGATGCTCCCTTTGAGCTTCAGCAACTTGTTTTCACCAAGCCTAGACACCTGAATGGACCAAGTTGCTGAAATGTTGCTCGATGAGTGCAGATGTTTACATGACCTTGAATAGCTACAGTACTTTTGATAACACGGTGCAAGCATATCACACAGGACGCAAAACAACATAACGACACAAACATGCCCTCCTTTTGTATTGTTCAGTGAGCGCTGCTGCTGCAGTCAGGTCAAGCAGAGAAAAGGTGGGTGTGTGGGGGTTAAAAGCCTCTACACACCTTTGCAACGGTTTCCGAAGGATCAAAGAATGTGTGCATATGTATGTGAGGGGGAGAGACGGAGGAGGAACACAGACAGGAGAGCAAGAGAAATGAGACCTTGAGAGTTTTTGGATCTGCCTGAAGAGCATCATTTGTTCAATCTGAAGTTTTATCCCAGATTTCAGCAGGAATCTGTTAATTTATTGTTTTTTGTTCTTCCATAAGCTTTCATATTAGGAACCTCATTAGTATTCCTTTCTGTTACCTGTGTGATGGGCTTTATTTTGTTTGATTGGTATGCCTTTTTACAGTAATTGCAGCAATTTTTGATGAATTTCTAACATTATTAGAAATTAGCCGAAGAAACAAATATGTCTAATTGGTTTAGAAACTGGGGGATCCATGCCAGAGTTCCCCGTGTATAACATTTCAGAGGCGTGCCCCTGTAGGTGTAGGTTGGTTGCAAACATGTGTAGACAGCTGGTGAAAATTATTGCTTGCAATCATAATCAGTGGGGAAGCAGAAATCTGTTTGGCTATTGATGGCTGATGAATGCAAAGTACAGCTGCTTCCACCTTTTTACATCTAACGAGCTTCTTGACTCCCCATGTCAGCTTTGTTCTTCCCTGGCTCCACGTATTTGTTTATAATATTCCACGCCTTTGAATTCCCCTCCTTTTAAAAAAGTCTTTGCTGTTAATCAGTCTTTTTAAGATGCTCCACTTATTAGCGTCTTATTTTTCCCCAAAGCGCGTCAAAAAACACAACACTGTCGCGTAGTCTGGAGTTTGAAAGGGAAACGGATAAATGAATACCCCTATGGGGCTGCTGCAATGCTAAAGCTAACTTTTGTGTTAAAAGACATCGTGTAGGAGAACAGTGACACTTTAGGAAAGGATAAAGGTTGGAGTTTATTAGTTTGTTTTTAGGGGCAAAAGAAGCAAAAAAAAATGCATGAACAAACATTTCACACTACTTGCAGTATAATGGCTAAATGTTATGCTTAAATTAGACAATAATGGGGTGCAGGTGGAATATTATTTTTAGTCGATACATCGAGGCAATAAAGATTTAGATCTAGGAAACGTTTCTAGTTTTAAGCATTTTATTGATCAAAATGTTTGGGTGCCTCTAACTTGGCTAAATGTCAACTAGCATTTAGCCAAGTAATCCAGCTTCCCATGCTGCATTTGTTTTTGAATATTTTAGATATGCTTTCTGAAAAAAACAAATGGAACAATAAAAATGTACTTGTGGTACAGACCTTCAACTATTTTAGACAGGCGTCTGTGTTAGTACATTATCAAGTATCTAGTTACTTAACACACAGATGCAGCTTTGTGTTGCATAATGGTGAAAATTCACACAGCACCTCCTTGTGGTAGTCTGAGCACGGAGCCCTGAGGTGTTCCTTGAGTAACTTAAAACCAAGGACGCCTATGAATGATTTACACGAATCAACTTAGTTTCTGCCTATAGTTAAAACCTGGTGAAGTTGATCTAATATAATCTCCGCCATAAAACATTGTAATCTTTTACCAGCACAGAAATCTTTTTATTTTACATGAATTTTTTCATTATTTACACATCACATTTATTAATTCAATTTCCACCCTTAGCCATTACTTTTTCTCCTCTTTCTCTTATAATACCTGCCTTGCAGTGCTTTCAGTTTGATTTTTCCTCCACATTTTCCTTTCCAAGACGGTGCAGTTTGCTGGGTAAATATTTGGGGGGATGCCACGTGTTGAAAGGCCTAAGCTCAGGGGATCTGCAGAGGAGAGGCTGCAGTTGTTGTGGATTAGCTGATTGTTTTTTCATAATACCACTGCCGGCATGCACAAGTTTTGGTCCTCACCAGACAGACTGCGAAGGCAGAAATCTTGATTTTTCTACAAAAAAGAATAAGAATGTATGAGTAATGCAGCTTATCAGCGCCGAGATTTAGTTCTACAGCAAGGGACTGTAAAACTTATTCAGGTTGCATGTAGAAATTGTCAACATTCTGTTAGTTTTATGATAAAGAAATGCTATTAAGTCCACAAAACACGTTTTGTGGACTTAATAAGCAGAAAATGGATGGATGGATATTAAGTTGAGTTGTTTTGGTCTGTAGTCTGGAATGAGGAAAAATGGAGTAGAGAGATTAAAGAAAGCAGCTGTAGATGAGCAAAACAAAATTTCAAGGAAACAAAATAAAAGGTAGAAATGAGTGAAGGCAAGGGAATTATGAGTTAAAAAATGTGAGTTGTTTTTAAAAAGGGTGAATATTTTATCTGATATGTTATTAATGTTGTTTACTGGGCAAACACTTCCATCTCAAGGGCTCTATCTGCACGAATCGTCAAAAGATGTGATGCTTTTATTTCCCTTCTGCATGTTCAAAAGGCAAACAAATGTATCTCTAATAATCTGACTAACAATCTTTTTCTTTCTGTCTTGTTTTGTTGTTTTGGCAAAAATCTCTGTAGAATTTTGAGAGATTCAAGGAGAGTAAAGATCAATTCCACCAAACCGCCTCCGTGACAGAAGCAAGCTTCAGGTGAGATGTGCACACAAATCATCCAAAATGCCCTCGCTTTTCCTGAGTCATCATCCCAACAGAGAAAGTTTGACAAATGTGTCTGAGCATGCACACACTCATTCCTGCCTATGTGCACTTTAACAACCACAAACCCAATTTGTAGCTACAAAAGCTGGGAAATATTACAACCTGCAGCCTCTGGAAACACTCCACCAACTTCCGCATGCAGAATTGCATTAACCCAACAGACTAATGAATAGCGTGAGGCAGCTATTTTTTTTTTGTCTTACCTACTTAAATGTTTACAGTCTCTGGAGCAAACTAACCCGTGTGATAAATGTTTTAATTGGTTGCTTTAATTAAACAGAATTCAACAATAGCCTGTTTCACCATCATCACTTCTCACTCTGGAAGTGTAATGAGCCACAGCCGGAAAAAAGATACCTAATTATTGTCACTGCAGAGTGTACAACACACAAATTTAATTGTCATTAGAGACCAAACCTTGACTTGCTGTTAAACGACAAGAGCCCTCAACATGAAAAAAGCCAAAAAGCTGAAGTCCTCAGAGAAACTACAAGGAAGTGTTCTCATCCCTGAGGCCAGGCTTTTCTGCTTTTGGGTTAATTTTTCACTTTATATTAATGAAGTTCTCCCCATGTTGCTAAGCAGAGATGATTTTTAATTTGTTTCTGTTTAAATTTTTGATTCTTTTTTTTGCTGTGACTTTGAATGCTCTTTATTTAGTTGTTTCCATATTTCTTAATAGATAAAGTATGAAACAATAGAAAGTTCAGTATATGCACTACTCACAAAAAGTTATTTGGCTTAAAACTTAAGGCATTACATTTATGGATAAAATAAAAACGATATGTTACTATTATATTATAGTATATAAAAGTACAGCATTTAAGGAGAAGCATACAAATAGGATTTCCTGAAAGTTCAAACAATATAACTGGAAGAAAAGCCTTCAATGGTGGAGGGTATACTTCCACTGTTGTTGTCAATGCCTCTATCTCATGCTGTTCACAGGTCGACTTACCTGTGAACAGCATGTCTGGTGAGACATGGCATCCCACTTTTCTTGAAGGGGGCCCTCAGGGTCATTGTGGCTCTGGGGTCCAGAGTTATGACTCAGCTGATCCCACTGGTTTTCTATAGGATTCAGGTCTAGAGAAGGTGTGGCCCACTCCATACCCGGTACCCGAGTCTCCAGCAGACGTTCCCTAAAAATGGAGCTGGAGTATTGTCTCCATGAAGATGACATTAGGCCTGTCTTGTTGATGCAGGAATATAATGACTGGATTAATTATGTTATTCAGGTAGAAAGGGCTGGTCCATCTGAGAGCATCCTGTTTGATGATGTCAGAATGTGATAATGAGTAGAACTGTTTAAATACCATTTCCGATTGAACCAGGAAAAGTATTGGTTGATTTGTGTATCAAACACTTGTGAATTTTGTAATTTATCTCCTTGTTAAAGAACAACAAGTTGTTCAAAAATACAGAAACACTGAACAGTAGGACATGCCCATTTAAAGGTTTAGAGAAGGTCACATTAGGTTTTATGTATTTTAGGTTCATCCTGACATTTCTTCTGAAACTAGAATATCCCTAACCTTTTCTGAATGGCTCATATTTTTAAATGTATAATTGTGTAACGATAAGAAAGAAGAAATGAATAAACCATTAATAAACTTACTTGTATATTAAAACTTAGACTGAAATGCAGCACCTTCTTATACATCATAATGAAAGTACTTTAAGTAAACAGTGTTCTAATATTGCCTTAATGCACATTTGGTACTGCAGCACAATTTATTCACTAGCTAACCTATGCTGCCAAACATTTCTTGGATACTTTGCAAGAATGATGTGGCAAAAATGTCACAATTCAGAGACAACAAATATACCACAAATAAGCACCTATCGTATGAAACTCCTGTAGATGCTGCCTATATGAGTCACATAACTTAACTTGATTCGCTCACCTCTGCACATTGAGTGCTTGAAGCTGCTTCAAACTGCCAACCTTTTATCTGAATAACTCAACTAATTATTATCTGACAACTAGGAGGCATTTAGTATGTGGAGCACTGAACTTTCAGCCCAAGATGGTCAAACTCTCATTTTACTGCAAAAAGTAACTTCCTTTGTCTCTATGCAGAGCGAATTTTACATTCTTCTTCTCAGTGGACATGCAATGTATGAAATGGAGGTTTAATAGAAACAAAGTAGTTTAGTTTTTGTTTTTCAAAGTCCTTTATAGTTTTTACATGATTAAAGTCAGTCTTCTATTAGAAATTATTGTGATCTTCTGTTAAAAACAGCAGATCTTTTTCATTTGTCACAGTGGACTGTCTCTATAACCAACCCTTTCCTTGAAACACAGAACATTGGACAGACAAATGGTCCACTATTTTACTCCTGGAAATGTAAGTAAAAGTTTTCTGCAGATCTCACTGTGACCACAAATTGAATGAGCATGGTCCATTTTTATGAGAGGCAGTTTAGGACAAAAACTATGTTTTGTCTCTCACATACTACTAAAAGCTCATACACACACACAAAATATTAAAATTGCACATTTATACTACTAAAATATCACACACACACATACAATTTTTCTCTCAAGCATACACAAAATACTAAATTTGCGCATACACACTACTAAAATATCAGACACGCATACAATTTTTCTCTTACACACACAAAACACAAAAAATGCATACACACTACTAAAATATCATACATGCAAACAATTTTTTTTCTCACACTAAGACTAAGATTGCACATATAAACTAATAAAATAGAGACTAATTTTTTTGTATGTGAAAAACTCGGTTTTGTATGTGTGAGAGACATTTTTTGTATGTGTGAGAGGAACTCAATAGGACCAAGCCAAAAACTTAAAGAAAACGACCACGCAGCTAAATAATGTCAACTCAAATGGCCTTCAGATTTTTCTGACAGTTTTAATGACACCTTGTGCTACATGCTTGGTTAGCTTTAGCTTCTAACAAAAATAATTAACAGTCATGTATACCGTGATGTCCAAACAACTAAATGTATGTTAAGCGAACTATGTATATGAATCGATACTCTTGCGCAAACAGAAAATCAATGCATCCATAAAAAATGGTCAAAAACATGATCATTTTAACATGGAACTTACCTTGTTATAAGCTCCAGACAAGACGCCATACTGCTGTCTCCTCGGGCAAACATGTGACATCACAAATACGTTACAGTTATGGGAGGAGCTGTTGGTGTTGGTGTTAATTTAGAAATCAACACCAAACAGAATTGCTTTCATTTAACTCTGGAATAACACCAGCTCTTTAGGGAAACTAAGGGTGCGTTCACACTGCAGCCTGAAGTGCCCCAACTCCTATTTTTTTGACGTAATGCGACCTGTATCTGACCTTTCATGGCAGTGTGAACAGCACAGGTCGGATTCTTTTTCGAATGTGACCCATATCCGACACATCCAATTCAAATGCGACTTAACGTTCAGGTCGCATTCATCCGAACTGAATGTCACTAATTCTCAACAAACCTCACTCTTCTGCGACCTGATACGCGCAAAGCGGGAAGAACAACAACAACCATGACGGACTATATGAGGATTAAGTTGTTAATATGCTCCGGCCGGACAACAACTTCAAATATGTAAGCTATGCTCCACCGTCAGCAACCATGTTTACGTCTGCCAACACTGAGCACTTCTTTTTATGGCAGTTTGCAGAACACTGAGAATGCTGATGCTATTGCGCCCTGTAGTGCGCATGCAGGACACTTTCAGGTTGTTTGCCTGTTCACACTGCAGAACGCATACAAGTCGCATTTACTGGCAGTGTGAACGGCCATGGCAAAATAATTGGAATTGCCAAAAAATCGGAATTGGGTCACTTCAGGCTGCAGTGTGAACGCACCCTAACACTCATGTTGTTGAATTAGACTAAACAAGTGTTGAATTTAACATACAACACCAACACTGGAAATCTAACACTTTTGAATTCGTTGTGTATATATGATATGAAATATAGATTTTATTAAAAATGTATATTTTCTGATTAAAAATTTAGTTTTTTTTGTTTTGTTTTTGTATATATGTTTTCTCATCTTCCTGGCAGCCCTAAAAACCTAGTCGGTGCCTTTAATGCTACAGGTACAGATTGCCTAGTCACTCACTGCTGACTGAACCAAATACCTTAAAATCAGACTAACACCATAGAAAACACATTTTAGAAATAGAGTTTGTGGTGGTTCTGCCATTTGACACAACAACCATTAATCCCCGAAAAATCTGGTTCAGAATGTTCTCTCCCTAAGAAATATCTGTCATGTGAAGATGACAAAGTACATCTAGCTGTTGATTTACAAAATAAAAGGAATTGACTTGCCCGATTCCTGTTATGTTTCTAGTCTAGATATATGTTGCATGTGAATGTGTCGGGAGGAAATCTTTCTCTCCAGAGCATAAAGCATTAGAATGAGGCCAAGACGAGTTGGGCAGATGGCCATGTCATACTGGCCAGGTTATCATCCGAGCCGTCCTAACTAAACCAGCTGTCTGTTATACTAGTGTTTGAGTAAGGCTTAGCAGCCTTTGTCAGATAGACTCCCAGCCTCTGTCAAGGATACGATTGTGCAGCAGTAGCGCCGTAAACACTGCAAACATCAGCAAGCTAAATCAACAGCCCTGGTTAAAAAATGCCTTCTACTTATGATTCAATCTAACAACATGCTTCAGTTATAAATTTTGAAGGAAATTTTGAGTTACGGTTTCCTGAGTGGGATCCTGTATGTTGGATTGTAACAATTTTCTGTCACAATGTAACAATGCAAATTTACCGAGGTCTTGTATTTACTGTATGAGTGTGATTTATTCTCCTCAGCTCTGGAAGCAACTCCCAGAAAACCTAAGATGTTCACTAACGGCTGATTTCTTTGAGTCAGAACTGAAAATATTACTGCAGATTTCCATAACGATTCCATTTTTTTGTACTTGT